TTGCCAGTGTAGTTGTAGTGCAGGACGATGACCTCGCTCACCGGCGCAGGGCGCAGCAGCCCCGACTCCATGGGCCACCGCCCCGAGGCTGCGGAGAGGCGGTGCAGTGTCAGGCTTGGCGCGAACCATCCTCGCCGCCAAAGGGGCGAGGGGCCCTAACCCCCTCCCCTCCACCTCCCAGGTACACTGGGGAGCAGGGGGAGTTCCGGGTGGAAGGGGGATGGCCATGGTGACAGGCCGACACAGAAATAATAATAGGGAACGGGGTGACACAGCCCCACAGTGCCTGAGGGATACTCATAACTCACACATCACCGAGATAACCAGAGGCATATTCAATCGTAAACAGACAGAATGCACACAAATACATCCGCACATAGGAAGGGACACACAAATACAGTGACACACCGACAAGGATATATATGTGCACGGTCACAAACGAGGGCAAAAATGGTCAGATCCCATCCGAAAAACACAGAAATGCATTCTTCCTTAGATAAAGCAACACAGGCAGAGGCATACAGCAATACCAACAGCCACGTGCACAGGCCACAATTTCACAACCTCCACCCATGCTCAGCCTGGAGCCCTGAGCTGCACACAGGGCTTGTTCCTGCCCTTTCACCCACTGCAAAAAACCGTGAGAACGCTGAGCCTATCGGCCCATTTCACAGAGCCCGAGCCCGAGGGCAACCGACAGGCCCACATTGCACAGGGAGCTCCAGCAGACAGGCACACGTGTCATGAAAGCATGATAATGATCCCCTGCGACTGGGCCCTTCCATCCCCTGGACGACTCTCACCATAGCCCCATGGACAGACGAAGACACTGAGGGGGAAAAGAAGTGCCTCGCAGAGAAACAGACACAAAGGTGTTCATGCTCCCACACAAACAGCCACGCGGAAACAGCTACACACACAGTCGCGCAGGTCCCACTTCACGGATGAGAAAAGTAAGGGCTGGGGAGGGGAACCGACTTGTTTGGACTTGGCTGGGTCCAGTGCCTGCCAGGCGGCTTCAGTTGTGCACAGGGAAGCAGGCACAAATACAGACCCACGGAGAGGCTGGGGCTCCGTCACGCTGCGGGGAGCGGGCATCAAACACACGCAGACACGGGCTGCCCTTTCTCTGATGGGGACTCTGCAAACAGGCTCACAGCCCCCGCACCTCCCACCTGGCCCCGGCAGGCAGGCAGCGGTCCTCAGGTAGGGAAACTTGCAGGGGAGTGGCCAGAAAGGACAAGGCCTGAGGGTTCCAGGCGCCCCCCTCACACCCCCGCCCGCGCCAGCATCCATGCAACGACACCGGCAAAGTCGCTGGCTTTCTCCGCCTCCAGGAGAGGCCCGGGAACTCCAAGGAAGGGGACCCGCGGAGTGGCCAGAGCAACCTTTCCGGGCCAGACCAAGCCATGCGCGTCCCAAGGGCCCAGTGCTGTACACTCACCCAGCGCCCTGTCCGTGCGCCCCCCGCAGTCGCGCAGCCTGGAGCCCAGAGTTCTGGTGCCGCTCGTGGGGGCGGGACTGAAGACGGCTGGCGGAAAGGGGGGTGGGGGTGGGGGGAGACTGGCCCTCAAAGCCGAGCTAAGGC